ATTAATTAACAACTAATAATAATAATAAAATTATAATAGCAAAATAATTGCANGCCCTTGGGGTTGCCTCGACAACATTCAGTAGCCTTGCAACCTCTATTATTACGATTTGATGGACATGGCAAGCAAGCTTCAGGGTGCTCGTTGTCGTAGGGAAAACCATGTCCTGTGCCTTCCCGAAGAGCACCATAGTTGATAAACTCAACATCTGCTACTTCAATCAATGGTGAGCACACCATTATAATGCCAAGGCANTATGTAATACGATCCTTAGATTGATAATATAAAATCTCAATCTCGGCATCAATAACCAAGTCATGAATATAATCACCCTTCACATTAATATGTTTGGTCTTCTCATGAAAAATTGGATTTTTTGGCAATGCAATAGTTGACTTATTACTATAGAAAATCTTTGAAAGAATTTTTTGTTCATGCTACAAAAATCCAAACATATGACGTAACCACACTGCCTGAGTAGCACAACTGTTGGCTGCATTGTACTTTTCTTCCGTTGTAGAAAAAGCAACAACTTGAAGTTCTAATTTAACTTCTGGTTATTTCCTGTGAAAATAAGATCATTCATACATCAACGCACAATAATAGTATGTCCCTTGGAATTAATTTTGACATATAAAGTGTGTTTATAGGGACATCTCTAAAAATTATTCTCCACAAAATAAGAATCAATCTAGCTGTGTACCAAGCTCTAAGAGCTTGTTTACACCCATACAAAGCCATTTTCAACATGTGGACTTTGTTTACCTCCCTTTTATTTACANTTTATAGGGACATCTCTAAAAATTATTCTCCAAAAAATAAGAATCAATCTAGCTGTACCAAGCTCTAAGAGCTTGTTTATACCCATACAAAGCCATTTTCAACATGTGGACTTTGTTTACCTCCCTTTTATTTACATAACTAGCAGGTTGTTCAACATAAACTTCCTCCTCAATGACACTGTTCAAAAAATTGATTTAACGTCTACTTGAAATATCTTCTAAAAATTATTGGCAGCTAAAGAAATAACCATACGAACAATACCAAGCCTAGCAACAGGAGCAAAAACCGCAAGATAATCAATACTTGACTTTTATTTGTAACCCTTGGCTACTAACCTTGCTTTGAAGCGATTCACATCTCTGTTTGGCTTCTATTTTATCTTGTATACCCATTTAATTCTATTGACCTTCTTTTCCTTAGGAAGAAATTTGAAATCATATTTCGAGAGCTATTAAAAATAATTTATACATACATGCAATTATTTTTTTAATTTTATCAAAAACAAGCTAAAAAGTCACTTCAAACAGACTTTTTCAACTTTTTATAGAATACTCTAAACGGTTTTGGATAATTTTTTTAATTCTGATTTTTTTTACAAAACCTTTCAAGCCGCAGCTTTTCAGCAAAAAAAACCAACTTCAAACAGGCACATTAATTACAATAAAAATTTGTCAAAAAAATTCTATTTATTATACTATGTGTTTCAAATATATGTTTAATGTTGCTGATCACAACATCTTATAAACATGAAGGAATTTATTTTTCACAGGAGAACTAAACCTGAACTAGTTTATTTCACCCTCAGTCACCATTTTATATCAATGGGACATATTCTGGAGGTGGTTCATTTGGAATCCTCCCAAACTGACCTTCTTCCTCTTCATATTCGCCCTTGGGGTTGCCTCGACAACATTCAGTAGCCTTGCAACCTCTATTATTACGATTTGATGGACATGGCAAGCAAGCTTCAGGGTGCTCGTTGTCGTAGGGAAAACCATGTCCTGTGCCTTCCCGAAGAGCACCATAGTTGATAAACTCAACATCTGCTACTTCAATCAATGGTGAGCACACCATTATAATGCCAAGGCATAGAAGGATCGACCCTCGTAAGACAGGCATCGTTAAACAAATAAGCATTTATTGTTGATATATATCTAGTATATTCCTTCAACAAGAAACAAGAATCAGGCTAAAGGGAGCTTTAAAATATGTTTTGCATGGTAAGAGAAAGAATTTATTCTAAAATTTTTCTTGTTCTTCTTGTAGAAAAGTTCAATGTACGTACTTCCCTTTCTAAACATATTATTAAGACTAAGAAACACGAGGAAAAATTAATGGCATATTGGTTGTCAATCGAGCTAAGAAAAAGATTCAAAGATTGAAAATGCCTGAAATACTAGGTCGACTAAAGGCGATGAAATAGAGGGAAGGTTGAGATTTATCTTGGAATAGGTGATCAATAAGTTTACCTGTGAGGCCTTCAAGGTTCTGGGTATAACACAAGCATGTTCCACCATTTGATGGAAGCATATTAACCATCGTAATTGAATAAAAGTATTTAATAACTTTAAATGGAAAATAATCAAATTTTGTAACATCAAGCACTTCTATGAACTTTGTGCATTTATTTTTATATTAATGTTGTTGCTTGAAACCTATAAGGGTTATGTCCCAAATTCAATTCATGGGAAATAGACCGTTGAGTTGCTTCTAGCGAATTGGTGGGGTTGAAGTCCGACTATGGCTCAAGTCGTCTTTAGGAAGCGCTTACAAGTTCTATCGCTCCAGACCTCTCTGGAGGGTTTCCCTCACAGGTAAAAACTGATATGGTTACGTACTCTAAGAAATTCCATATTTAGTCACCCTTTATAACATTTTTAATTAGCAGAAAAAAAAATTCAATTGATCATGAGATTCAATTGAAGAATAGGAGGAACATTTTTACGAAGTTGGCAGTAACTGTCCATCGTGAACAAGGTACGCAAGCAGTAACTATTCATTGTGCCTCCACAAGCTCCAACCTACTTTCAGCATCAAGAAAAATTATAACACATTTATTGTTGAGAGCTTTGGGGGTGAGTACATTTGACATGGGCTGGTCTCAATGCACTGGGGTTGAAAGCACGTACAATTTCTTAAGCATCTTCGCCTTCATGTCACTCATGCTCGACGCATACAATCAACTCAAGGACCACCTAATTTGCAGATTAGATATCAACACCATACTTGAACCCACCAGAT